GATATACAGTAGGTGAACTGATCAAATAATTTTATTTTCTAATTCAGTAAATAGAATTTTCCCTAAAACACAAGTTTGTAATACTGATTTTTGTAGTGGTTTCACTCTAATGACTTTATGTTTTATGTTKTTCAAAGGTTTTTAAGATTTTTATTATTTTGTTACATTTTTGGGTCTGTCTTGGCTCACTGAGAAGCAGATGCTCTGAAAAAGTAGTCAATAGTAATTGATCTGTGAATAAGACTGTTCTAAATGTATTATTCATTTTGGGTTGTTTCTTTGAAGACCATGCCATAGAATAAAATATTGCTGCAGAAAATATATTTTACTAATTCATACGCACAGAGCACTTCAGTGCACTTAGATGACCCTTCTGCTTTCTGCTGGACAGCAGACAGTACACCCAACCAAGTGTTATAGTCGCTTTTCCCATACCTCAAAAGTAAGATTTCAAAGGGGTGGAACATTTCTGGAAAATTTCCGAAAACTTTGCAAGCAGGTAGTGACAGAAAGAATGAAATCCCATGTACAGTTTTCTCTGCAGGTCAGCTGAGCTCCCCCTTAAAGATAGTGTCAGTAGTTCAGTTAACATGGAGAGACTTGGAGTGGAGTAGGAGTCGCTGCTCCTCCACGTTGAAAAGAGCCAGTTGAGGTGGTTCAGGCATCTGGTAARGATGCCTACAYAGGGAGGTTTTCCAGGCACATCCAACTGTGAGGAGACTCCTGGCAGAYCCAGGAGGACACACTGGAGATTGTGTCTCTCTGCTGGCCTGGGAACACTTCYTGGGTCTCCCTGCTCTAGTTGCTGCCCCCATGACCCGACTTCAGAACAAGCAGAAGAYAATAGATGAATAAATCCAGATATTTAAACAATTAAAATCTATAAAATGTGTTCTTGGCGTTACATGCAGCCATCATATTTTCATCCGATGGCTTTGACGCTATTCTGTTACTGGCCACAGTTGTTCATCTCTGTACGTTTTCAACCGTGAGCTGAAATATAGTTTGCGTCTTCGCCAGCAGCCGCTCACGTYCCCACCGACCAGACTGCGGTTTTCATTCCGATAATTGCGGTGATGGGCTGCAGCTTTGAAGTTCGTATTGCYGGTCGGGGGGGCTGATGAATTCCAACAAACACATTTTCATTCGGCTTTCATCTCGTCAAGTTGAATTTTCAGAGCCACTAACRTTTTACCAATGATGGTTTCTGGCCGAGGGGGGAGGTGCCGGGGTCTGCTCCGACATGGCGGCAGATAAAATGTCTAACAACATGAGTACTTAATTGATTCCATTATCATATGAACAGAAGCAAAACAAAGAATTCACTCAGACTTTGGATGACATTTCTACATTCATGGCGCAGCGTGTGTTTAGCTGCAGCTTGATTTATGCTGTCAGGCTGCCATAATTGCTCAGCCATTACAGGTATTGAAGCTGCATGATTTCACACACCAAAAAAAAAAAAGAAAAAAACATGTCACTCTGTGCAACATAAGAAATTGGCTTTTATTATCTGATAAATACAGACACAATGGAACAATATGCTTGTGTCTAGCTCTTTAATAGGCTGTCACACATTTTTAACACATGGATCTGAACTCATCTGCGTAACATGACACTTTGGGTTTTAAATAAAGATAAATAGGAGAAAAAAGTTCTCTAAAATCTTCTAAATTTGACTAATGAAAATATTCCTCCTCTCTAAATGCAGCCATGCTGCTCTGTTGCCCCCCTGTGGACGCTTTAGCAACACGTTCATTTGAAACCCGTCGGTTTTGCCTTTTTCTTTTCCTCTCCAGATGTGAGGCGTCCAAACAAAAAGAAGTGGATGGACAGCAACCTTCCTCCCAAAAGGCAGGAGGGACAGGATGAGGAGGAGGAAGCGGAGGGAGTAAAGAGGATCCGGGCAGGCCTCAGGGTCAAACGGGAGCGCCGGCAGGCCAGCAGCAGTGCCACCATGTGCCAGGTTTGCAACATGAGGCTGAACTCCAGCGCCCAAGCRCAGATCCACTACAGAGGGAAGACGCATCAGAGGAGGCTAAGGCGACTGGCAAAGGCTGTCAGTGCAGGTAGGACGCTTTTATTTCAATTTGCTTTATTCTAATTGCTTGTTTCATTGAAACATGCGTCTGTGTTTTCTTTTTTGCAAGATGGTCTTTGCTGTGTTGCGTGAAAGTTAACCATCAAAGTTCACCTTACCGCAGATAAAAACATGGTGGCGTTTACCAAACTTGAAAAAATGTCATAACTTTATATTTACTTCCCTGCACTCCACACTGCCTCACAGTGACCACAATTTAATACCAATCTCTCTGCTCTGAACAAAAACAYGAGACTATGTTTACTGCAGAGCCACTGTTTTACAACATTTTTCATTTTGTCATCTGCTGTCAATTATTGAATTCACCAGTTTTTTTATGGTCCTCTGTGTCTGACTCTGTATTCTTTTTGGTACCAGAGTTTGAAGGCAGATAATTTTTCCTTCTGTGTTTGGAAAAATATAAATATTTCTGTGCAAACAGAACATATAATTACAGCTTTCAGTGATGCTCTCCAAACAAAATATTTTACTTCTTTATTCAAGACAAAAAGGGAAATATTTGAAAAAAAAATCCTGTCATCCTCCTGTAGTTTCATCAAACACATGCTTCCTTTGAAAATTTGTCTTTTTCATGATGAAATAGTGAAAAACAAAACATTTAATTAGACATAAAATGTTTGGATTTGTTTAATATTCTCATCTGCAGAGCACAAGGAGATATTGCAATAGGAACATATTTACTAATTCCAACAGCTTTCTGCCTTCTTTTCTACGTATTTTCTGCACACCTGTTTGGTTGATGGGTCATTAATCACCTTCACTCAGCAACACCTGTGTCACTCTGCAGCTCTGACCAGCCTGATCAATCTGCATTTGGACAATAAAAAACTCTAATGAACAACTGGCCAATAAAGTGACATTTTTTATGTTGATTTATGAGACTGTCTATTGCTATTGGCTTTAGCTGCACACTATATGGCACATTTCTGCATTGTTTAATTTACACCTGATTTTGTCATCTTCAGAATGTTATTGACTTCTTTTGTGTTGGGTAATAGACTTTACAGATCATCATTCATATTTAGGACGGTTTGATGCTTTGCCATAGGTGAACTTATTTAGTGTAAATGTGGAAACACACTTCTTTTTTCTAAGTTTAGACTTTTCATTTCTATGTTTATGTTTTTGAGTTCTCTTTGTCCAAATATGTAACTTTTAATTCCTGACTTGTTCCTCTGAAATAAGATGAAAAAACACATTTTCACAGTTCTAAAATGGTACAGTGCAACATTTCTGCAAATAGAAAGCATGAATTGTAAAAGTTTTATTTTTTATGGCTTTTCTGTCCATCAGTGGTTCTCATCATTCAGATCTTTATAACTAATGAACAGACACCTTTAAGTGTCGCCTGGTAAAAGTGGATTTATTGTGACTTCTTATCAAGCATTCACGCAATTGAGATCCATTTTTCTGCCGTACATTTTGAAGCACGTATCTGGTTCCACAATTTTGTCCTATTTCAACAATTTAAATGTTCAGCACCTTCAGGACTTTACAGYTATGACTTCTGGTACTTCACCGATTTTGCACTTTTTGAGTTATTTTGCCTTTTTTTGGCAATTCATATCTCATTGAAGATTAATAGAGCTGTCTTTGACATCCTTAAAATCCTTGAACATGTTCATAAATCTTTACCGTACCTTTTACCTTTTGTTCCAGTTTGGATTTTTTTTAACTCCTTTGTATTATTTTTAGCTTCTTTTGGCTTTTTTGCTGATTTGAGCTTTTTTCTGCCTTTTTAGCTCCTATTCTGACATTTTCTATTATTCTGCTAATATAAACCTTTTTGTGCTTCTTTAAGCTTCTCTCTGCAGTTTTAAGCCTTTTTAATTTTCTTTTCAGTTCGTTCTGCYAATTTCATCTTATTTTGAGTTTCACCTACTTTTTAGCTATTTTGAGCTTTTTTTCAGCTATTTTCACTGTTTTGTGATTATTTCAGCTTCTCGTTGCTTATCTGAGAAAACATGCTATTTGTTTCTTTGTTCTAATTTCAGCTATTTCAGCTAGTTATTTTGCCTATTWTTRGGCTAGTTTCAGCTTTTTGAGCTCTTCAGCATAAAGCACTCAATGTTTGAAGGAAATGCACATTCTCTAGTTTAATTTATGTTAAGCAGAATTTCTCTTTCAACTATTTGCACACAAACAGGAAAGGTTTTGCACAATATTCTGTGCATCTTTTTTTTTGGGGGGGGGGGGGGCATTGAGTTGTCCCCTGGTGCTTATTTCACAGCAGATAGGACAAAACGAGGACAAGCCAAGTCAATTAAGTTGACTGTTCGTATAATTCAGACTGTGCAGCAATGAAGCCCRTCTAATAACACTTGTTCCCTCCATTCCCTTTCAGCAGCTGAACCAGCTTTTCCCTCTCTTTTTTTCCTCCAGCTTCGTGAAGTGATTGCTCAAATGAAAAGAGATTTTAATAGACTGTTCTCACTGGGGGCCTTTTGAAAGGAGAGCAGAGCAAATCACTTTTCACTCCTAAAGTACAGAATGGCTCAGGAGTCCTTTCAAATCAGGGTCATGGTTTTTCAGGTTATGGCATGTGTGTTGTGTGTGTCAGTGTGTGGGTGTGTGTGTCAGTGTGTGGTGTGTGTGTTTTCTGAATGGGTTAAAATGTTCATGAAGAGAAAGACGTGTTAAAACATGGGCTTTCAAACCTGCTCCATGTATGTTTTGCTGATGTCAGTATGGCCTGTTGACATTAATCTGTTAGAACTGAATAATCTGAATTTCTGCCTGTAATCTTATTCAACAATTAATTTTTTAGAGGTCTTGGGGAGGGGGATTACATCATATGAAATTGGGCTTCAAATCCTGAGCTTGCCTGTGGATTACYGATTGAACATTAAAGGAAGAGTATTCTGTATTTTCCAGGTACATGGTTCAATTCTATACCACATTCAAATAAATATATTGCCTCCAGCTGTGAAAATTTTGTATACATCAAAAATAAATTAGACTTCTCATTATAGTCTATCAGAATGCCTTGAAATTGGCCTCTGTCTCTTTAAGAACCTCCTACATTTTGGACACTCCCACTTCAGCACATCTTTGGGGTGGGAGCTCGGCTGCAGACTGAGTTCCAGGGAGGAGCTTTGTACAAATAGGCGGGGCTTTGTTCCAGCCAGCATTTAGGCAGCTCCGCATGGCTACCACAGGGGATTCAAGGATTTCTCAAACATGAATGAATGAGTCAAAGCAGCACTTTGGGTATGTTTTTGATGAGGAAAAGACAACAAAATATAAAGCTCAAAAATAACAATTTTGCATAATGCCCCCCTCCCCTTTAATGCTTCGATGCTCGTCATTTAAGACACAAAATACACATTCAAAATCTTACAGATATTGTTTGTCAGTTGACGTAGAACATTTTGTGCACTGTTCATAAAACAGTTTACCTTCTGAGGAAATGAATCTTTTTGCCGTCTTCAAGCAAAACTTTCTGTTGCTAATGGTAAGTCTCTGATTTATTTCAGTAGAGCTCCACTGCACATCAACTGGGTTTAATGTGGTACCAAAGCTGCTTCTTTACCTTTAGTATCTAAGAAATGGCCTTTAAGTCATCATGTCTAACATACAGATGCAGCTAAAGACAGAAATAGGACATCCATCAGCCATGAGGGGTTTTCTGCTTCACCTCATGTATTTTATATGGTAGACAGTGCAACACAAAAGCAGCCATTTTTCAGCAGTTTAATCTGTTATCACCTACTATTCTGCACAATGGGCCTCATGCAAGAACCGTTCGTACGCACAGATTTGTTCTTAAGTTGTGCGTACGAGTGATTTAGGAGAATTTGTGGCATTCACCAATGTTTTCGTATTCTACGATTTTTTTCAGATACGAACAAAATTTACGAGTGGTCCAGACCTGTCGTATATTTTACCAGCAGTCAGTCTGCTGATATCCAGATGGATTTTCCTCACTAATAACTTTATATTTCGTTAGTTTGAAGATATTTTGAGTTGAAAATAAATTACACTCCATAATTATGTTGACAATAGGCTATTCTGCTTGAATTAGAGTTATAATTTTAAATGTAATAATTTAGACTAACAATATAAATTGTCCGTCCGTCCGGCTTATGTGCTATCAGGTGCGGCAGGGGGGCAGCAGGAGAGACCCCGCACTCTCTCCGCAGCGACACCTTCCAGCTCATCCTGGGGAACTCTGAGACGTTCCCAGACCAGAGGAGGTACACAATCCCTCCAGCGAGTCCTGGGTTTTCTCCAAAGTGCCAGACTYATTTTGAAAACATTTTAAAATGCTTATTTCAGACCCGCATCTGAGACCAGAGTTACGGTGCGCAGCGCTGCGGCTTCTGAATAAATGAAAATGATTTAACACAGTTATTTATACTTTTAGCAGCTCTTTTTATCCCACAGCTGAGCTGCTAAAAATGACAGATTTTCTTTTCTGGATCTCTGACAGACGGACTTCAATCTCTGAACTCGTAAAGTTCTTCTTTTAAGTTTTCGCTGCCATTTTCATGAATGGACACTTCCTGATACCTGAGGCAGGAAACATAGCCTTATATGGTGTTTTTGGGGTGGTAATTATGCTAATCTCCTCTCGCGTGCACGAGCAGCTGGATACGAACAGGTGGAATTTACGCAGCTCATTTACGCACGTTTCCAGAAGATAGAAGTGTTTGTTGAATCTGACGTGACATGTTCGTATGAACCCTTTGTACGAACAAAAGTAAGAGAAATTTAGGATAAAAATACGAACATGTTCTTGCATGAGGCCCATTGTTTCTATCAGCTGCAGAAGAAGTAAAACTATTATCTCACACACTGAAACCAAATTTAGTAATGGCTGTTTCTGAAATCACCTATAGAGGATTTGCTGTATCTGGATTTTTGACACTTAATGACTGATGATAAAGATTTAYTCAAGGAATAATTATTAATATATTTTTTATTTGACTGATTTGTACTTAATGTTGTTCTCAATGCACTGGGTTT